AATCCAATCCATTGGACCTGTCTGTCCTCAGTTACCATGTACCTATAATCCCTCATCCATCTAATATCCCAGAGACCGTATATCGAGTATGGTGCTGTCAGACCCATACGGTTTCTACTCGAGTCTCGCTCTAATCGGATTCTCCCGGAGAACTCTTTCTCTCTCAACCCGAATGACCCTGGCCAGGGATTTGTCTGAGCAAGAACACATGGGATATTCCTCTCATGACGCCGAGAGTGGATGATCCTCTGTCAACACTCAATAGCACTCGTAAGGTCGACTACCACTCCCAATGACCAGCTGTACTAGGTCTACTCGAGTCTCTTTAGCTTTGTAATTATCCAAGAAGAGGTGTGAGGCTTGTAAGGGTTATCTCCTAAACCCATAAAAAGGAGAAAGTGCTGTAAAGAAGTGGTTGGTCTTCGTATATTGAAGGGAGACCATTAGTAGATGCTGGTGATCTCGACGGAGGAGGAATCAGAAGTGGATGTAGGTCACAACGACCGAACCACTATAAATTCTGGTGTGTTCTTTCCTTACTGCTTAATCTCTTTACTATATTTTACTTTACTTCATTGCAAACTGTCCAATCCTCTCTTCACTACTCACATGCAAACTTATTCGAGTCTAACTAATGGTTTTTGCCGAACTTAGAACTTCATCGAACGATGTTTTTTGAAATCATTTAAATTGATCGTTTTTATCCACTGTACTAATTCACTATCCCCCCCCCCCCTTTTAGTGTCATTCTTGATCCTAACAACACCTAAAGGAATTCACTCACAACTGACATCCTCTAGCTTGACCTTTAGTTCCACCCTAGTGTCAATTACATTCTTAGATATCTTGTGCATCCACTATTTAAAAGTCTCCTTGCTTTCATTATTGAGATAAAAGGTATTGACGTTTTTTCTTTAAAACCAACAAATACAAACTCTACTAAGGTTGAAATATTATCCTCTTCTTATTCCAATCAATGAAAGCATGATATTTAGACAACCAATCTATATCTAATATAATAACGAAATCTTATATATTCAATATTATCATATCTATAATTAATTATTTGTTAACAATCTAAATTAGATAAGATCCCAATCCCATACTTGAATACATTATATGCATTGGTAGAATAATTATGCAATACATCACATCTAATGTTTTAGATGATTTGCTTAGTTTCTCCACATAAGCTATTAATGCAAAAGAATATATGGTGCCAAAATCAATTAATGCATGCAAGAAAAATATCATAAATAAATATCTCACTTGAGATTATTAATAAGCTAGTTTTTGCTTCTATCTTGATCATCATAAAGACTTGCCCGATACTCTTTTATATTCTGAAGAGATTGTTATACAGTTCTCTACTAAATGTCTTGACTTTTCACATGAAAACATAACCATTTACCTTTAAGATATTCACCCATATAAAGCTTTCTACATTTAGGGCAAATGGGTCTTTGCGCCTAAGCTGGCGGAAAAGATTGGGACATCTGACCCACCATTCATTATGTAGGACATTTGGGTTAGCCCTATTACTGTCCTTGACTTAGGTGTTATTTTTTATTATTATCCAAAATTTATTGTGAGACCCTGTTGCTAAAATTAACATCCTTCCTTTTTATATCATTATTGTGGTACATCTATTGGCCTTGAAAATTTTTTTTCTCAACCTCCTTTGCTTTCAAGGTCTTTTCCACTACTATGAAATAGGGAATACCTAGGGCCTTCATTATCTTTCCTTGGCATATCATGGTTGTAGTGTATTTGTTGGGCTTGAAAATTTTTTTACTTAGTCTCCTCTACCTTAAGGCCTTTTCCGCTACTATAAAATAGAAAATATTTGGGGTATTCATTATCATCTTCATATCCCAATAAATTTATTCTCTAAGTCCGTATAGAAATTGATCAACTCTCAAGGCATTTTTAACTCTTAAATATAATAAGCTCACTACATTGACTTGAATATGTATTTTTAAATGTCATTTTAAATTAGGTGAACTTAGATTGAACTCTATCCAATTGTTATGACCATAGATACAACAAAGAAAACAACCAATAAGAATATTGGAAAGTTATTTACATATATTGGAAAGAAGTTTGGGTGAATTCCTGTTTAGAGTTTTTTTTTTTTGGGAAAGTATCCTTGATTTCTAGAATTTTTTATCAATACCTTTTCTTTTTTGCCTAAAACCTAAAATATCCCTAGTCACCTATCTTTTTTTTTGTTTTTCCTATAAATTAATCCATAGGGTGAATGGGTCCAATTATAGTATTTTTACATTGTGTTATAATGTTTTCAATAATACTGTAATGTAATAAAAAATATTTTTTTTATAAATTATGTAAAAAATATTATGATTATAATATTTTTAGTAATAATAAAAAACTATATTATATTATTTTTATATTATGTTATATTTTTTTGGTTTTATTAAAAATACTATATAATGTAGTATATAGGGCATTTGGGTTAGCCCGGTTGCTATCCTTGACTTAGTTTTTTTTTTTTTATCCAAAATCTATTGTGAGGCTTTGTTACTAAAATTAATATCCTTCCTTGGTTTATCATTGTTACAGTACATCAATTGGGCTTGAAAATTTTTTTTCTCGACCTCCTTTGCCTCCAAGGTCTTTTCCACTACTATGAAATAGGGAATATCTAAGGCATTCATTATCTTCACATTCCAATAAATTTTTGCTCTTAGTCGTTATAGAAATTAATCCACCCTTAAAGTATTAGTGATAATTATGAGGGATGTAAATCGAGATAACTCTTTAAACTTTTTAATATAATCCATCACAAAGACTGATGAGATAGCCTCTACTTTTGTCTTGGTCATCACAAAGACTTTGCTTGGTACATTTTTTTTTGTTTTGATGAGATTATTTTATAATTCCTTGCTAAATATCCTAGCTTTTCATATTGAAAATATAATCATTTTCTTTTAAGATATTCTTCATATATGATGCTTCCTATATTCAAAGTAAGTGGGTCCGTACACTTGAGCTAGCCTCAAAGATTAGGATGTTTTACCCACTTTTCCTTAAGTAGGGCATTTGGATTACCTCTATCGCTATTTTTCACCTTGGTATAATTTTCTTTTAATATCTAGAATCTATTATGGGGTCCTATTGCTAAAAATAATATCTTTCCTTAGCATATCATGGCTGTAGTGTATCTTTTGGGCTTGAAAAATTCTTTGCTTGGTTTCCTCTATCTCTGAGGCCTTTTCTGCTACTATAAAATAGAAAATATTTGAGGTATTCATTATTGTCTTTACATCCTAATAAATTTCTTCTATGAGTCTTTATAGAAATTGATCGACTGTCAAGGCATTTTTAACTTTTGAATATAATTGGCTCACTACATTGACTTGAATATGTATTTTTAAATATTATTTAAAATTAAGTGAACTTAGATGGTAACTCTATCCAATGACTCATGACCATATATACAACAAAGAAAACAATTGATAAGAATACAAGCATATACTCTTAGGAAAATCATTTATGTATATTGAAAAGAAGTTTTGGTGAATTCCCATTTAGACTTTTTTATTTTTGGGAAAGTATCCTTGATTTTTAGAATTTGTTATCAATACATTTTTTTTTGTCTAATACCTAGAATATCCCTAATCAACTACCCATTTTTTCTCATTTTCTTATAAATTAATCCATAAGGTGAATCGGTCCAATTATAGTATTTTTACATTATGTTATAATATTTTTTATAATACTGTAATGTAATAAAAACATATTTATTTATAAATTATGTAAAAAAATATTATGTTTATAATATTTTACATAATATTATAATATTTTCAGTAATACTAAAAAATTAATATTATAGCATTTTATAATATGTTATAAGTTTTTTGGTTTTACTGAAAATACTATATAACATAGTATAAAAACATTATAATTGGATTGATTCACCGGTCCATCGAGAAAAATGAGAGAATAAAATAAAAATAAAACAGTTGAGGGTACTCCAGATATTAAGTAAAAAAAATACTATTACCAAATTCTGAAAATAGTGGCACTTCCTGAGAAAAGCAAAAAAAATTTATGGAATTCATCCAAAAACAATTTCTTGAAAGAACATTCTCTTGTACTTCAAAAAAATAAAAAACCTTGTCTCACGGTACAAATAATTAGTGATCATCCTGCCCTGACCATTGAACTTGGCCGAAACGCAGCTATTTTTTCATTAAGATAAAGTCAAAAGGATGAGTTTGATGGCCAGCGTCTGCACGCGAACCACAATTTGGCATCAGATGTGCATCTCATAAAAGATGTTCGACGGGGCTGGCAACAGTGTCCACTGAAGAATACTGCACCGCTTAAACTTTTTGCGAGGCTCTTGTTCACAGTTATGAGCGTCCTGTGGCGCTACTACCACTTCATCATGAATATGGATCTCTACACCTTTTTCTTCATGTCAGAGGAACATTTGAGGACACCACTCTCACTGGTTCTCAGTCCTGGCTGCTCATTCTGAGCTACTCCCTCTCCAACTGCAATAATCTTACTCGACCCAATACGCAAGTCTTTTCGGAATAGGCAACACTTCAAAGCTGCTTTCTTTCCTTTTAAACTCCAGCCATTACGGAGCGCTGATGGAATAATTACCCATCTTTATCCCAGAGGGAGACAAAAGAGGGTAAAAGTGCACCCCAATTATAAGCCATCACCGTATGATAGTAGGGATAACCTGACGTGTCAAAAATTTCTCCCAACTGCTACCCAAATAAAGATGTTATAAGTGAAGGTCCATGAGAGCTTGTGGAGAACTACTCCGAAGGACCACATTCCAGCTCATCTACAGAATTCTTCTTGAACATCAAAGTTTTGGTAACATCTGGATTTACGAATTGGTATTCCAGTTCACTTTCGCTTACCTGTCAACCGCAAAAGCTATATATGACCATGAGACCTTGGAAAAGGAAGACAAGAAAGAAAGGTGAAATCAAAGCAGCACCTAGAGCATTCACTCTCAATAACTCTGACACGTTACTGTCGTTGAAGAAGACAAAATAGTTGCTATGGATGGTGTAGTCTGTCGTTGGCAGCTGATGTAGTAAACCACTCTAATCTTAGAGTCTTGAAATGGTCAGTCGTGCTTTTTACTGAAGAGCCGAGGTTTAAAGTTGGAATAGCAAGAATGAATAGAGGTTAACCAAATACAAGAAAAATTCCAATACATTTGCTCCTCAAGGCGAGCATTCCGAATGATGAACTAGAAGAAATTAGTTGTCCGAGTCCCTACAAAACGACGCTGTCAAAAGTCTTCCTCAGCCAGCTGCTATACAATACGTTGAGATTTTTCGTGTTTGTATTTAATATAGAAATTAAACTTGCAACTAAGAATTAGTCGGATGATATCCGTTCAATAATTTTTTTGTGGAGAAACGAGAAGCATCATACTCACAGGCCTACGAAGGCATTCTATGCACCGACAAGTTTCGTGTTTAGCTCTAAACGTTGAAGTCTTCCCCTGTTAGCTCTGTCTTGCTACATCCTTTAATCGAAGTTTCCAAGCCGCCAGGCGAATGATTGCTCAGTCTCTTTTTCTTGTTCCTGCATTACGGATTTGAGGGGAATTATCATACTTGGACTAATTCAATGTTCCATGAAATATGTAGTCTGTACATTTCTGGTCATACCCCCCGATATCAATTGTCTCGTATACTGCTCCCTAGTTGCGGATCCGCTGTTAGAATTTATACAACATGAAAGGTTCATTCTAGAGAGGATTAACATGACAACTACAGCCTCATTAGGAGAGTTTGACCAACTAAAATTGTGTATGGATTCGTAAGTCTTGCGTTGGATCTTTAAGTCGTCACTATCACAGACGTTGTCCTGTCGGTATCAGTCAGAGAAAGACAACGAAGTCGGTGGACATTTGAACAGTGCAAAACTGAGGCTTGATGCAGGGGTTTACCAGAAGGTGAAAACGAGGAATTATACTGAACGAAATCGTCGCGGTGATGGTTAAGTCTCAGGTGAAAACAACCTCGACGCTGTCGGTGCGTCTTCCGATACTGTAGACGAGCGGCTGCCCATCGACTGGGTTGGAATGGGCTCCATGTGGTCGAGTAAGCCAATGAAGGAATTGAATCCCCTCCTCTCCTTGGTATAAAACTCGCAAGTCTGAAAGAGAAGGAACAAGAGGGAGTTGGGAAGAAAATAAGTAAAAATGAAGCCTCTCAGGACCTCCCCCAGGCCTGAGGCAAGGAGGACAGGAAATGCCTTCATCATAGCATCCATGCTTCTTTCTCTCTGCATCATCTCTCTTATCAAGGCTCGCTACTGTGCGGTTCCATTTGGTCAGTCCTTCACTTCAGATGCTGCCTTCCTTGACTGTTGCGGTCTTCTGTTCTTGAGAACACCGTTGCTCTTCTTGCAGGTAAGTTGCAGGAGTCTACCGAATTGGAACTAGCCATGGAAGCTCTAAGGATGGTGACAGCCAAGAGAGGCGACCCTGCTTCAAAAGGTAAGTTCATTAGCATAAGTCCTCGGAGAATTTAGATAGCTAGAAGAATAATATGGACTGCGAAGAAAGAAAAGAATATGAAACCTGGTTCATGTGGTGACAGGAGCAATTGTGCGAGTTAGTGATCTGCAAGAACTGAAATGTGGAACTTAGAGCGCTTACTGATCAATGATTCACAAAAAGATGTTCACCATTCATTCACTTGTTTGTGTCGGTTGCAAAACTGAGTACAGTTAAAATGCCCTTAAAGCCACAAAAAGAACATAATTGTTGCTGAAACTCTTGAGGATTCTGATAGTTTGCCAAAACCTTTTCGGAGATGCTTACACTCATAAATTCCTTTCTTGTGAACATAAATGGCATTGGTAAAAATTTTCTGATTGCAGGGGAAAAGGAAGAAATAGCTGCTATGGATCTCAAGAAACCATTATGTGTGGAAACAAGCCGGAGATCTGATGTTTGCGAGGCAGAAGGCGATGTGAGGGTGAAAGGAAGCTGGCAGACCATCTTTGTGCACCCTTCCCTGGCAAGCCAAGAATGGAAGATGAAACCTTATGCCCGTAAGCATGACCGGCCCGCTCTTGCTCACATCAAAGAATGGACAATTAAGCCGTTCCCAGATCAAGAACCAGCCCCGACCTGCACCGAGAACTATACAATCCCCGCGGTGGTGTTCTCGATCGGTGGGTACACCGGAAACCTCTTCCATGACTTCACCGACGTGCTGGTCCCCCTGTTCATCACCTCCCACCACTTCCATGGTGATGTCCAATTCGTCATCGCTGACGCAAAATCCTGGTGGCTGAGCAAGTTCAGCTTAATCCTCAAGCAGCTGTCCAAGTACGAGATCATCGACGCCGACAACGACCAAGACGTGGTGCGATGCTTCCCTCGTGTGATCATAGGACTCAACTTCCACAAGGAACTGGGCGTCGACCCTGCCAAGGCTCCAAACGGATACTCCATTATGGACTTCAAGGAGATGCTGAGGAAAGCGTACGGCCTAGAGAGGCCGACGGCAGAACCGTCGGGTGACCAATGGGACGTAAGGAGGAAGCCCAGGTTGCTGATCATATCTCGCAAGAGCTCGAGAGTGTTCTTGAACGAGAGGGGGATGTCGGACATGGCCATGAGTCTTGGATTCGACGTGAGGATCGCCGACCCCGATGTAGCCACCGACTTGGGCAAGTTCGCGAGGCTGGTGAACTCCGCCGACGTGATGATCGGAGTCCATGGCGCCGGGCTCACCAACATCGTCTTCCTCCCTGCAGGGGCTGTGCTCATCCAGGTTGTTCCCATGGGCAACCTGGAGTGGCTGGCAAGAGACACCTTCGAGAATCCATCACCAGATATGCAGCTCAGGTACTTGGACTACCGCATCCAAGCGGATGAGAGCACGCTTAGTGACCAATACCCGAAAGATCACCCTGTGTTCACAGATCCCCAATCAATCCACAAGAAAGGCTGGAATGAGCTGAGCAGAACATACTTGGAGAACCAAGATGTGAAGCCTCATCTGGGCAGGCTGAGGATCACATTGTTAGAGGCTCTCAACACATTGTCGCACAGCCGCAAGATGACTCAGTGATGGCTTCCACCTGGAATCCGTTGTTCGCTTTTCTTTTTCTTTCAGAAACATAACCCATCATCTTGTTGCAAGAAAGATGGATGGATAGGTCGGTATATAGCTAGTTAGATGCATGGCTGGATAGATAATATTGTGCTGCTATAGGGAAGTATAGTGATGCTTACACCTTGTGATTACAAACAACGAGTGTACTGGAGAAAAGAAAGATCAACGCCAGAATAGTTTGAATATGATGCAGAGTAGTATTACTTTATATTTTATGTTACAATAGCTCCATCACTAAATACGTCTGCCTCATTGCCAGTCTGATTACAAATACTGTGCTATATTTTTAATGTTTTCCTTCTTCTTTTTACCTTAATAAAAGGAAATTAAATTATATGCGATTGGTAAAAGATGAATTTTTCTGGATAATGCAACAAGTAATTGTCCTAAAACGGAGTCTCTCTCCTGCTTCAGGGTTACCACTATTAGAATATATTAGAACAGGATTCTTGTCTCTCTTTGTGCTGGAAAAAAAGAAAACAGGGGAGACGCTGAAGAAAATAATTTGGTGCATCGATCTCTTCCTTGTCGTTCTTCGGAAATGAACATTGTTATCACCATTCTCGAAAGGGTCTTGATCACATTCGTAAGATTGATGACCCATGAATTCCTGTATCTGTAATGGTGGAAAACATATATACTTGTATTTCTTTGTGATTTAGACAAGTGTTACGACGTCGTTACAGGAACCATGGCAGCAAGAAATGCCAAATAGCTGAATTCCCAGTAGAAGGTCAATCAATAACCGTCCCCGGTACAAGAGACAGGTCGCCTCAGTGTGGACCCCCTCCTTTTACTAGGACTAGTTTGGTGTTGTGGAGCTATCAGAGATGAACAGAGGCCACAAGCCAACGCCAACGAAGAGCCCACCTCTGGGGGTGAGTATCCATCAAGATCTACACCAGAGGATCGAATACGCTAACCAAACTGCGGGCTGCATGTGATTCTCTTGAACATATCTACCACCCAAGTAGCAGAGGCTGCTGTTGGTCAGCAGCACGATCATGCCCACCACTTAAAAGAACATATAAGACATTCATGATTACTTTTTTGATAAGATACTGGGACTGCTACGAACTTTGCAAGATAGAGTTACATATTCCACGTGAGATCAAATCAGGCATCACATTTCAGTCGGTAGTCCCGTCACTTTCTTATATTTCCGGCAATTGTTTCTCTCCTGCTTTCTGCAAGCATGCCACACCACACATTAGCGAAGAAGAAAATTATGCAGCTTCTTTCCCATTACATGGCATTCTCTTGCTCTTATTTCTGGACACATACGCGGGCCACTCAAGTGTAGTATGAAGGATTTCCTGTAACTCCAAGGAATATGTGGACTGCATGGCATCTAGTATCAGCAGGTGAAGGTAATGGAGTAAGACATCCGCCGGCCCCCGATACAGTACTATAACATCCAAGTTAGAGCGAGTTGGAGACTATTAAAGGCTAAGGAGATGATATATATAGGTTGTCACATGCCAAACAAAATAAAAAGAAAACAAGAAGTGATTCCTTTGCTGAAGGAATATTGCTAGAATCATTAATGCACTTGACAACTATACTTATACCATGGGGCATCGATAATTTGATCAGTGAGCAATGATGTCACACACGAACATATTTTTCAATGTCTCGTTTTATTATAGTTATACAACGATAGAAGAAGACACGAGGAAGCACTGTACCGACGCAAACCAGTCATAACTTGGATCTACTGATTATAAAACACCGAAAATTGAGATGACGTCTCTTGTTGGACTATCTATGGAAGATTTCCCTGCTCCGAGGGAGATGTATGAATGGAGTTGGTTGTGTCTACATTCCACGTCATAGTTGGGATATGATTCTTGTCATGTAATGGTACAGTCAATTAGCTGTCAAGGAGGAATGACCGAGGAGAATATTAGTTGGACTTGATGGCGTTGTTGCCATTATTATTGGTAGTTAGATCTCATACAAGCAGCCCCGTTCAAATCACAACATACCAAAAATTCCAAGGTATGCCAACGCTTCCTGCCAAGAGTAGAAGAAACTTGAGTTCTTGTCTGATTTGCAAGCTAATTCACTGATTCATTGCTTATATAGAAGATATGATAATCTTGTAGTCCAAAAATTTTGTTGAAAGAAACTCCATGTCATTAATTATATTTATATTATTCATGGAAGATAGTTTTTCTTATTAAGGAGATTCATCGTTGCTTTATAATTTGTCAAACATATGTATCACACGACCCACGTGGATTGCAAACCTTCTGCAAAAGCTAAAGCTTGATAGGGATATAAACAGGAATAACCTTTGTATATGAACAAATACTAGAAGACCATAATACGCAGCGGAATTAAATGAAATCATAATCAAATAGAACACCAAGATATACGTAGAAAACTCCTCCAATATGAAGGGTAAAAATCACGGGGCAAACTAGAGATAATCCACTATGAGAATAATGAATATAAAAATCTCAATCTTTTGTCCTAAACCCTAGCAACAATCTCAAGAGAATAACTGGGATACAAGGATCACGTCACTGCCCACAATATCTAAAACCTCCCCAAGTAATTATAGCAAGAGTCTACTGTAGATTTGATCTAACTTGAGATAGAACACTGCTAGATGATTGAGAACAGCCTCTCTGCGTTGTCCTTGTCTTCTTCCCTTTCTTTCTCTTCCTTTTCTGCCTTGTTTTCCTCCTTTTCTTTGGAATCCTATGGTTATTTTCTTCTCCCACGTTGCTACCCTATTTATGCCTTTTTCTGCCTCCAAAACGCAACCACCACACCCCCCTAATGTTAATTAGGGTTAGGTTAAGAGGGGGTGAGCTGTGGGCTGCCCAAGCCCACTATGGGCTGAATCTTTGGGCTGCCAGCCCAACAACCTCCCCCTTCAGCCCATAAGGGAGGCTGTCCCATGACTCCTCAATGTGAAGCC